GCAAGCTTTTGTGTAGAAAACAAGATGAGTTTGTTAGTAAACATTAAATTTAGGTGTTTCAGCTAAATCATCATCGGTTCGAAGACTCCTTGCGATGCGCCATTTCAGAGTTACGGACACGCTGAGACAACGCCCGTCGGAACCACTTTTCGTTCTTCGATCGGTGCATCAGAGGTCCATTCACAGTTACGACGTCTCAAGTTGGGTGTATTGCAGGCGTCAAAGGCATTCTTCGCGGCGCACTTGAGACGACCCCAATCAGTGTTCAACTCACCAACTTTATTCGTTACCGACAATTAGTCAGCCAGTTCGTCATGATACTGATGAACTGCAGAATGCGAGTTCAAGCTACGGGTAAGAATAGATAAGCGCTTCTTTGAAGCGGGAACAGTGAACGTCAGGCGTGCGCGCACTAGAGCATGGTCGGAATCCAGGCATGTGCTCCAAACTGACCGACAGTCTTGGACTGATTTATTCCATCTGTAGTTGATGGCGGTAGGGTCAGTTTGGGTCCAGATCATTGAGGAATTCAGTGAGCACCAGATGACGCGGTGTGAACGTCTGTGTTGGGAAGCAGTGTTGCTAAGATAAAGGTTGTGGTCGGTGTACAATTGAATGGATCGATCACCATTGTCTGTTCGGCGCGTATTGACTCCGAAACGGCCTCCCAGGCGTTCAGAGTCTGAAAAAGGACCCACCAGGGCATTCATGTCACCCGCAACAATGACAGAATGTTGTTAGAAATCGTCGCTGATACCCTCTGAACTGAATTCAGTAGGGGTATAAACTGATGCGATGAAAAGGTACCTTGTCTTCAGATGCTGCTTAGCAACTCCAGTAGAAGGTCAAAGTTGAACCGCACATATGTGGCTGTTCACCATCATCCAGTTGAGCAGATTGCTTTCAGCGTGTTTGCTGGGTGCAATACCAACCCCGTAAAACCTTGAAACATTGACTCGATATTGCCAGAAACGCGAAGAGTGTAGTCATTTCCGTCAGATTCAGAACCAGGGGGTCGAAGATCCGTCACAACGTGGTTATCTTGTATGCGTGCTTCTTAGACACAGTGCACATCAATACCAAGAGAGTGAAGAGTGGGAATTATTGCTGCTTGCTGGCCTGTTTGACTTAGGGTGCGGAAGTTAAAAAAAGTGAAATGATACCCTAGGTTTGTTGGAATACCTACATGTATCGAGGGCAGCAGCTGAGTAGTCAGCGAGTCTCTTGCTCAAAAAGCAGGGAGGAAGGGAGTTGAGGTGGATAAACAAGAAGAAGAGGGAGTATGGAAGGGGTTTGTTCGAGGTGAACTGCCTCTAGCCTCTGACTCAACAGTAAGACACAAAAGGCAATGGGTACATGGAGTTTCTATTGAGGGACTCCCCCTGGGAACCTTTGACTCAATAGCCTGACCTACAAAGCAGTGGAGAGCAAGTCTAGCTCAGTAGTGTGATAGCGGAGACCCAATGGGATATGCTTGAGGCCTTTGAAGGTTTAGAACAAGAAATTACGGTCGAGTTTAGCGCAGCGGCGAGAAAAATGACGAGCCACAACAGATGGCGCCAACGACACCAATGAACACAGAGTAACGTAAATCCACACATTGTTCAACAAAAATCTAGGTTCCGAACAGCAGCCATGTTCATAGTTGTACATCTTTGGTGGACGGTAGATACGCCGGCGCGGGTAGACCGATTAGGGAACACTGGAAACGCCGGTCCACTTTGATCACAACAAAAGGGTGGAAGATCCACAAATAAGAACAAATTGTGAGCAGCACCGAAGTCGAACTTTCTTGGTGAGATATTGCTTTCCTTACCAACTGCGTAATGATCCTACATGCTGACAAGTAAGCCTGGTGGACCAGTAGGGCTCAAGAAATGGAGGAGGCAGGAGCAGTAGGCAATCCCCGAAAGCTATTCCATATGATCCGCACCACTGGTCCCAAAAAATCAGGCGTCAGTGAGACAATCAGAGACAGCACGGGTGAACTGATACACAATAAGGACGGCCGTATAGCTCGTTGGGTGAAACACTTTCAAAATCAGTTCAGCCGCCTCCCTGCTCTCGGACCTCTTCTTACTAAAGTGATGCAGGACGAGCCATGGACGGTTAGTTTAGAGCCTCCGTCGGATGCCGAGGTCCGAAACGCAATCACAGCCTTCAATCGCTTTCGTGCTGCTGGCTCGGATTCCCTCCCACCTGCACTCTTTAAAGATGGAGGTGAGGTCCTCTGCAAAGCACTGACCTCCCTATTCAAATATATCTGGAAGGAAAAGAGTGTCCCGGCTAACTGGAGCGAATTGATTATGTCGGCAATATACAAGAAGAGCCGTCGCACAGACTGTGCTAACCACAAGGGTATTAGCCTAACGCCAGTTGTGACAAAATTACTGACCTCCATTCTCGTTCGTCGCGTCACTGTGAAACGGGAATATCGGATTAGAGAAGAGCAGGCCGATTTCCGCCCAGGACGTGGCTGTATAGACCATATATTCACTCTGCGGCAGGTGCTAGAGCAGGGTCACGCATACCGCAGACCGACAATAGCTGTGTTCCTCGATTTCAAGACTGCATTCCATTCAGTCGATCGATGCATTCTGTTCGGAATACTTACGCGGAAAGGTGTTTTGCGTGCTCTATACTCGAATACTACAGCCCGCGTCAGGGTCTATGGTGTCCTATCGGATAGCTTTCCGACCACAAGTGGCTTTCGTCACGGTTGTCCGATTTCCCCATTTTTGTTCAATTTCGTCGTGGATTCTATCATAGAATGTTCCCTTGCGGAATCGCACGATGTAGGCGTTGAGATTCTGGCTGGTGAAAAGTAAGTTGATCTTGATTATGCGGATGATATCGTCTTGCTTTACGACATTGTTGGGGCGGCACAATCAACCCTGAATAGCCTATCTAAAATGATCCCATTATTTGGTATGCGCTTCGCACCCTCAAAGTGCAAAGTGTTGCTGCAGAACTACCAGCCACTTTATGACCTCCTGACTCTTGTTAATGGGGAATTCGAGGTTGTTGATCGATTCGCTTAAGTTGGCAGCTGCATCAGCAACGACGGGCACATAGAAACTGAAGTCAGTTCACGCATTGCAAAAGCCAGAACTGTCTTCTTAAACCTAAGGCATCTTTGGAGACAGAAGGGAGTTGTCCTCCATCTGAAAGGCCGTGTATACAAGGCCACAGTGAGGGCCGTTCTGCTTTATGGTAGTGAGGCTTGGCCCCTTCGGTCTGAAGATCTGAGACGCCTTCAAGTCTTTGATCATCGTTGTCTAAAGAGCATTGCTGGTGTCCGGTAGCACCAACGTGTCCGCAACGATGATGTGCGTAGGTGAGTACTAGGTGGTGATAATCATGCTAGCTCCCTAGAACAACAGATAGCACTGAATAAGTTGCGTTGGCTTGGGCACGTGCTACGCATGCCTGGTCACCGCTTACCTAGGAGGGCCTTGTTTAGTCTGCCAGGTGTAGGGTGGCACAAATGCTCGCGGTGGACAATAGTTGGCAGCTGGAAATGAAGTCACTGACAACCAAACTGGATGCCATTGGTCCGTCTCGCCTTCCGGGCTGGAGTCCACGTGACTCGCCTTGTGCTTGGCTCGAGACTTTACAGGACATGGCTCGCAACCGACACCAGTGGCGCGTCTGCTACCGTCTCCTAGTCGAATTGCCTGTTTAAAGTATGTTTGGTGCTGAGTTATCTGCATGGTAATGGCTGATTATGATGCGGAGCAGTGAAAGCCGCAAGGAAGCTGTCTCGCCGATGCCGCCTTATCTTTGCACGATAGCCAGCTGTTTGTGACGGTATGTTGTCTACACAAGGTGTAGGCGCCTTGATTCTGAATGTTTGATTACGGCATAAAGGTTTTCAGGTAAGTCCCTCTTATTACTCTTTATTCCATAGGTCATCATGATTGTATGGCAGCGAAGCATCAGTTCAAATGTCTGATGCAGTGCTGTTGTTGTTGATGATGCATAATGAGCCGAACTGCAGTATTGCTGATGCAAGGCGAAGTTAATATCGGTAAACTAAGGTTAAAAATAAGCGAGTGAAAACAAAGATTCCTCAAGCGTTAACAAACAGCTGGATATCAGTAGAAAATTTATTTGACAACTGGAGCTCAGTATACGAAATGATCGTTAACAAGAGTCCCGTTCGGCCCTGAGAAATGAACGGCAATAAGTGGCTAGCACTTTGCAGACGAATCAAGCCATAACAAAAAAACATTAGGCAGTAGGAGAAAGAGGTGTCGGAGGATTCTAGTTGCCTTTGAGAAATGAGTGATTTGTGCGAAACCAACGGCTACGAACACAATTATTTCGGAGTTGTTTAGAGATACAGCGAAACGGTGGTAAGGAAAGCAAATACTTTTTCATGTTCAATCTACGAGATAGTAGGAAGACAATACCGGTAGCCAAAGTCATGCAATGAAGCATAACGGTTGCAAAAGAGCAAATATCATCATTGCTTGACCACGCGGATAGAACAGTGAGTTGGCCGATCGCGAGATGAGAAGAAGAACAAAGGCGAAGTCAGAAGTGCACTGGTGTGTACGCGTTTTTGAAGAAGCCACAGCACACCCCACTTGCGAGAGTGGCCAGGCCGCTACATGTGAGATTATAGGAACTTGCCTGAATCCGACTTTCTGATAGCACTTGCTGGATTCACACCAATGTGCTGACGGTGCAAAGGAAAATAAAATGCAATTAGTCGCGCTCTATCAGCATGATCTCAATACAGTTAGCTAGCGTCCCTTGAAAAGCCGCAAATTAGGTTTGAATGTTTTGTGCGCATTCGGTAGAGAGTTTAAAAACAGCCACCCTGGTTACGATTAGATGCTTTTCAATTTCCGTGCCGCTGTCAGACAATAGTCAAGCTGCGTGTAGCCGAAGAGCTACCAGAATGTGTCACTGTGGATGAACTACACACAAGCACACAGAGTCGGGGCAAAGATAGCAACAGCAAGGGGTATTGGCTTACAATTTAAGCTCACCTGCGCCTGACATCTGTGTTTTTGAGACAGGAACAGATCCACTTGTTGGAAACCGCATCTCATGTTCAGGATGTACATTCAGCGAGGAATGAACAAAGAGGAGGGGTGGACCTGAGCCTGAACTATATGCGCTTCCCGGTCCACACTCAAAGGATAGGAGGGTGTGAGACAGAGAGAAAAATAAGAGTAGCAGCAGCAAAACAGTAATAAAACTACAGAAAAGAGACAATTTCCAAAAATAATGGGCAGAAAATTATCGGAAATAAGAGTGAAAAAAACAAATGAAATCAGTGCAAGTATTGGGACGGTAACAAAACTTACTGTTAATGACGACCAGGGACGCGGACCCGCGACAACACTATCTGACAAAGGTAAATCAGGTATGTCCTCATCGAAGGGGTTAAAAACTATGTTGAATGGATTATACGTGAGTTTGTTACTGGGCTTTGCATCACTGTGGAGAGGAGAGGAATCCATGGAGGGGGATGATCGCGCGCAGTTTGCCTGGCCATTTTCGTTAACTGAATGGAATAACTGAGCAGGTAAGTTGAGACTTGGGAAATAAGTCCGATCGATGCACATGGTTAGTTCGAGCAAATGCAGCCATCGTAAGTGGCAAGCTGACTCCAGTTCAAGCACCAATCCTTCCATCTGGGTCACTCGCATAAAGATAGCGGTATCCAAATCAGGTGCACTCTTCAGCGTGCGCACTGCACGTATAACGTCCGAAAGAGTTTTGGCGTGCTTTTCCACCTCCATCAGGCTGGCCTACGAAAGGAAAGGGGGGAGGTGGTCAATCAGGGTGAGGAGTGTGATATTACTGTCTACAAAAATTGTAGTAGCAAAAACTCAAAAATAGATTCGTCACACTCAGACTCGGATAGGATTAGTCGATATTGCTGTTTTACTCGGAGCATTAATTGCCGGGGACCAGCAACACAACTACGGCATAAGTGTGGGTGGTTAGCCGCATTCTCTTATAGAAAATGTTGCGAGTCTGGTGGCATAGCAGGTGGTGGACAGCATATGAAAGGAATTACGTGTAGAAACGATCGATGAAGATATAGAAAACGTCTCACATTTTACGGAGTAGAATAAAGCGGTACCAAACTTGGGCTCGTAGTCAAGTTCGTTTATGTACTGTTTGGTTAAATCACAGGCATAAAAAAGCGATTGACATGGTTGGTAATGTAGCACGAATCCAAGGAAAAAATCTGTGATGACAACGTTATAACGAATTCTTCAGAAAATATATGTACAATGTGAGAAGGGAGGAAATCGATTTGTGGACGGTTACACACAAACATACAACAAAATAAACGCGGCAAATCACCTGTGATAGGGTGGCAATTGAGCATTGCACACGAAGCGGGTGGAATGAAACTGGCCAGAATTCGCAACATGGGTGTTAAAAACAAATGCGAATCCGCTTCCTAACCATCATTTATCCAGACAGAGGATAATACTACCCAGATATCAAACATGTGACAGAAGAAAGGGCATGAGCGTGAGCATAGAATGAAGAAGACAAGCACGTGGCACGTTGAAAGGGCGACCAGTGTCATTGGGTTGACAATGAGAGTCATGTACGGAAAGAGGAAAGAAAACATAAACGAATTCGGTCAACACAGTGGCTAACAATGAACCTAGGATGCCGTATCAGTAGTGCGTGACGGCGGATTGGTGAAAAGTACCAACGACGAAGGAAGGCAAACAAGGCAGGTTAACTCAAGCGAAAAGAGAATTAAGTTGCAATATCTTCTGGTTGCAGCATTCAATGTCCAGAGAAAATAAAATTCCTCACACATGAGAAGGGAGAAACCACCTGAATCGGAACATTCTCAAAAGCCTAGAATCAGAGGAACGCGTCTGGAGGAAACCGCACAGATTCACTAAGTACACCATTACTTCTCACAAGGTTCACGCCCCTTACCACCTATCCTCGTATATCGGGTATTCCCAAACCGGTGTGCAAAACGCTCCGTCCACTCCTTATCCAGCTTTTGAAGATATTTCAACACAGGGAATTTCGTAAAAGTAGGTGAACATCTCGGCCTTGTTAGCGCATACCACTTGATGAGTGAGATCCAACTTGTTCCCAAACAGAACCATGAGCGCCTCGACTGCATCCTACACTCATCTGATCAGTTAGGGACATTGGTTAATATACACAATATTCTTATGATTCGAACTCGAAGATAATGCGGCTGCAAAGAGCTCCCTTTTCCGCAAATCACATCAGTGGAATACATTTACAAGGCTGATTGAGATAAGTGCAAGCTAATGAAAGCTGAAGTAAAAGTCGTTGAGCCAGTGAACTACCTCACTTTATTCGATCGGAGGTCAAATTGATTGGCTGAGGTGGTGCAAGCCTGTGTTATCGATGAGAGCTGATCTGGTATTACTTCAACTAACAGAGCTCGCTGACTTCCTCTTGAAACAAATTGTGTCAGTCGAGAGGTGAAGCCAATCTCGGCTAACATCAGTGTCCCATGCGAATGGATCATCGTTATGGCCAATGCAAAGCGAGGATTGAAACAGCATCTAATGTTTGCAAAGTCCTGGTTGCATTAAGTTGATTACAATCGCTTCGGCTATCTTTCGACGGCGTTTCCTAAGCCCGAAGGAAGCTCTTACCAGCTCTCATATATCGATCACCACGACAATGAATTTCTCTTAATCCGCTGTGTTCAGAATAGCAAGGAATCATATTTCACCATCAGTTACACTGTGTTTATGGTAAGAAACCTCGACTGCCGTGTCTTATTTTTCCAAGAAGAGGTTAGGAACCAGTTGTACAGGTGGAGCGCTCCTTCCAACTCCGCCAGCTCAAACGACCACCAAATTGTGCTTTGTCGTGTTTGGCACCGAAAGACAAGGGAAGTAAGATCCGCACAGTGAAGTCGAAACGCAAACATGCTGGAAGTGACAATACATGAGGCAGTAAACTCTATAAACCAAGCTTTACGCACGATTTGATTCCAAGGACAAAAAAAGTTAAACTCTATGTAGTGGTTCTACAACAGCAATTTTAAATGCACAGACATCACTTATGACCAGATTTGTAGACGTAATCTAAATGTCGCTCAGTAGTGAGCCAAAACATTTCCAGTCATCCGTACTTCGGGTCAACAAAGAAACAGACAGCCCGCCAACAATGAAGTGCGTCATAATATTTCGCTATCATCATCATCATACACGTTAGCTAGAGGTGGGGAACACCACAGCTACTGTGCCGCCACGGTAAGGTCCATCGCCATGAGGCTGGACCTTACCGTGATGCGATGGTTTGCGTGCTTCAGAGATCCATTGAGCTATGCCGGGTGGTGTTTTCTGGCACCTTCAGAGCCACACATACCAGATTGGTCAATGGTTAGAGGCCAGACAAACTCAGCCTCCTGGTCCTCCAGGTTGGAGGTAAGAATGAGGGTGGCTACTTATTCTATAAAAGGGAATCTTAGTAGCTCAACCCCAAACCTGCTGCCTTTCAGTCAGGTTTTTGAACCAAAGGCTTTGGTTGAGAACCCTAATCGTTCTCCTGTCTAGGCCTGGGCAACCTGACAGTATCCTGCCCACGCAATACAGTGAATATCACTTCAAACAAATATTTCGTTAAGGCGGTACTTCGGTTAACCACAGTGATGCGGATAACCAGTGATACGTTCGTGTTTTATAACCTGAGTGGTTGGGCACAAAGGGAATAGTGAATGCGAAATCAGAAAACATCCATATACAGAGGAGTAAGAAAGGAAGGATGAAAAAAAGGCACTATTGTAATTTGTGATCCGCACACGCGCTAGTATATACAGCGGAAAAGGGTTTCCGAGTCGATTGCGAAGCAAGAAGCATTTCGAATTGACGCTCATAGTTATAAGAAGAGAAAAATGATGGATGGAAACACGGCTAAAAGGCTTCCCGTGGATAAACTCATAAACGTCAGAGTTATTTCGAATCTGTTAGTCGGAACGGACGAAACTCACTTAACCGACAGTACCTCACATGCAGAGTAGGCAATCAAATTCAAATTGATACGGCCTAAGGGAGCTGGTCACCAGAGGTTTGTGCATGCGAAATGAGAATGGAGACGAAACGCGTAATTCCGCACCACCGCACTCGAGATGCAGAAAAGAAAGTGGCCGATAGAAACATTTTCTTCAATGACTCGACCAGATGCGCAGTTGTAGCTCAATAGCGTAGCAGTGTAAGACAAACTATAGCGGAAGGGAAACGTCAGTAAGGCGCATGAGTTGTCACGTAGAGGTAATGTCCTGAGGAAAGCCCAGTTAGGTTACTGCTGGTTGAGACGATTGATATAGCAGCGTCTTTGAAGAGAGTTTGGGTGGAGACGGTGCACTTTGCTTTGGCACATAATAAAAGATTCAATGAGGAGGACACAGCTATTGCCTGTGCGGTTGGAATCCTCGCATGCCCGAGAAGAGTTTTGCACAAGTCTCTCGAAGTTATGCGAGCTCCGCAACAGATGGACGGACTGTGGATGTGAGAAACTCGTGACTACCAGAAACCATAGATGGGAAAGGTTAAGTGAAACACACGAAAGTAAAGAGCTAAATATAGATCACACGCAGTTTGAACGATCGATTCAAGCTGTAGCTAATGCGCTCAGTCAACAAATGGAGTAGTAGACAATAATCACTGGAAAAGAAATAAGACAGCCTGCTAGAATGATAATCAAATAGTAACAAAACAGGCCGCACACAATTGTTCTGAACACAGAACTCAGGTCCCAAATGGCGAAGGTATATGGCCTCGGCGATAGATAGCAATTGTTTGTGGAAGCATGATGAATAGCGTTCAGGAAATAAGTAGATCACTTTGAATTCGTTCTCTAATGCTGCATGGCCGTATTCAAGGTGTGACAAAATCAAGCTGTTAGAAGACTTCATTTCACCTCTGTGGAACGACAGTGGTATATGCTCGCGGATCCTCTGGAATAAATGACTCGAAGTGCGACCGACGTATCGTGCACACAGGAACACTAATATTGAGACACAAACATAGATCGAGCCAAAGAGGGTAGTTTATCTTTCAAGGGCCTGGCAAGCAGTGGCTTATTGGAATGAACTATCCTTAAACGGGGTGCGGAATGTCTTCTCAACAGCGCCTTTTAGGCGTCGAGATAACGCATCAGCGGATGCATAGCCCTTACATAGTAAATGCATGAGAAGTTCTTTCTTCGGAGCAATGTTACTAGGTAGCTTACGTTCATGTACTCTGATGGTTCCGGATAAATTTGCCCGGGCATCCATATTCTCTAAGAGCGTCGCTGATTTGCTGCAGTTTCTCATTGACGGTATCTGGTGTGCAGATAGTGTGCGCCGAGAGATTGTTTCAAGCTCCGTTTGTACTGCAAAGGTACCGCGCTGTGAAAGTTAACATACTGTCCAGTCCATGTAATTTTCTTGTGTATTCCTCTGCCGTTAGATACGTCGGTATTTCGGATAGCGTTTATATGCAGAAACGAAAGCTGACCTCTGGACTTTTGTTCGCAGGTGAAGCGAAAATTCGCATGTGTTTCCTTAAAGACTTACAGCACCTGCACTGCTTGCTTTTCGAACATGTCATCGACATATCGTACATATATTTCAATTCAATGGATATATGCTCTTCGTGGGCCATCTTCTAGCTTTGGCATAAAGAGATCAGCCAATCTGGTGGTACATTTCGCCAATGAATGTGAACTGAACGTTTAAAGTGCAATGCAAGCACACCACTTTGAGTAAAATTTCCGGAAAAGCCATTTGTATGTACCGTTGAGCCAATTCACACACATAGTCCACTGTTTCGCGTAATGAAAGGTTGGTAAAAAGCGACTGCACATCAAACAATACCATCATTTTATCTGTAAGGTTGAGGTTACTTATCTCCTCAACGAATTCGTAGGAATCTCTCACACAGCAAGTACAAATCATTTTCCGCAACGGCTGTAATTTGTTCCACCATCCAGTGGGCCAGCAGATGCTGTGGAGAACCGAGCATGTCCAAGATTGGACGCATTGCAGCAGCTTCCTAATGAACTTTCGGTAGACCGGATAGTCTTGGAAGATGACAGCCAGACGGCTTCAACGTTTCCAATTCATTCTTTGCGATGAGAGTTGCCCATATGTTTAGCCTGAGGCAGCCAGTTATCTGCGTTGCTAATCCTCCTGTGTTATCTCTTCCTGATTTTATCTTGAGAATCACGTTTGTCACTAAGTATATTGTGAATCTTATGGATGTAATCAGCCCTATCCATTAGAACTAGACAAGAAGCTTTGTCTGGCTTGGAGGTGATTGTTTTTTGTTTAGCCATAACACTTTATGTGACTGCTTCTGTTCCCTAGTGACGATACCGTTGTTGGTGGGTTTAACCTTAGCATACTCGTGACAACTACACACTAGATTAGACATCAAATTCTCAACATTACTAGGCCAAATTGGAACTAAGTCTCTCGTTTGGACCATTAGGCTCACAAGTGTTGACGTGCAATGCGTTTAGTATCGGAGCGCGGTTTCTCGAAAGTGAGGAAGAAATGAGTGCCACGCGAAACTCTAAACCGAAACCTTGACCAGTATAGTGCTAATTACTGAACGCAAGTTGTTTATGTTATGATGCCAATCAAGGAAACACGGACCACATGATGGAACAGCTGAGTTACCAGGGCAGATTGTTTGACCACAATGGACGTGTTGGTAGTGCGTTGGGTATGTGTAGTTTCACGTGGTGCCACCACGCGGAAGAGGCCGAATGAGGTCAACACCGATGTGTAGTAATGCAAAAGTAACGGGAATTTTATGACAGCCAAGCGAAAGCGAAGAATAGAATGATCGATGGGAACAGAGGATGTACCGTAAGTTAAAGCGTTTCATGGAGCTCAGCAGATAGTTCGAAGAAAAAGATGCCCACCTGGTAAAATTTAGACGCGGATCGGAGTTCAGAGTTCGACATATTGTTCACACTTGACATCCAGGCAGCCGTGTCAGGAAGGTCTATTGAATGGAGATTGAGTGAGGCGGACATCTATGAAAGTGTGCCACGCAATAACGAAACCGATGAGGACAATTGGTTGGTGAAGCAAAGCAACCAAGTGGAACACGTAAATGTAGGTGATAACACAGGATTTCATAGTGTCCAGTCACCTAACTAGGCCCGATTATAATCGCGTCAGAGACCACAAAATATTAACTCATTTAAATTCAACACGATAGATGAGCACAGAGACTTGTGTTCGTGAAAGGTACGTGCCAAAAGTTTATCAATAATTAGTGCGTGTGTCAAGCAATGTGAAACGAAATTTGTTATACACAAGTGGTAAAGTGAAGCCATAGTAGCCAGGGATGAAACAAGCTGTCCATCAAATCATCGGTTACTCAGGCGAAGTGAGAATCGATTTAAAGCTGTTGTGCGATTGGACTAGCTAAGAGCTGCAGCAAGGGAGACAAAACCCTTAGAAAGGTATTAGCTGAATTGGTGCAGCTGAAGATAAAACGCTAGACACAATGGAAGTTTAAGATCAAGAGAAGATGCGCTACAATCGAAAAGCGACCAAAAACGTGAAACAGAACGGCAGGGAAAGTCACATACAGGAAAGCCACAATGTAAATCCCAAGCCTATGTAAACAGAAAAGCGAGTAGAGTGGTCATTTGTCTGCTTACCTCAAGGAACCAAATGGAATATTAGTCGACATAAGCCTCTAGAAGTGGAACGAGTATGCATGTAAAAATGAACGCTTGCTGATGTGTTTCCGGTTCAAGTTGTTATGCTATAATAGACATGGGACTTAAATGTAGTGCATCAATTTATCACGATAGATGTCACTGCGATAATGAAAAGCGGCGATGACAAGGCTAAAAGAGAACGTGCAAAAAGTGATGGCAAAAGAGAAAAAGGACAATGAGATAGCGCCTGAAAAATGAGGTGTGACTACGAGGAAGAAATACAGGTATTTGGGATTAAGAAAAGTAAGGATAGCATCATTAGCCAAGCAGTCAGTGAGTTCAATGTGAAGTGATCGTCTCTACTCCATACAGTAACACCGGACGAATAGCAACGTTGTAAACCATGGCTTCATACGATGAGCTGATTTTCACGTATGTATGTAACTAACAGGTCACAAACACCTTGCGGATACACAAAGTAATCACTCCAGTGATTCGATCACTGAATAAGATGAAACAGTATAGGCAGCAAAGCTAAAAAAAACCACCTCCCGTGGTTGCTCAGTAGTGTATCCACCCAGTTCTGTAACAGTACTACGAACCTTGAGAAAGTAAAGGACCTACTAAAGCGCGTAGTGCCCTACGTCAACCCGCCCACAATTTGTGCATAACAGTCTAGGGTAATGGCAAGCTATTCCAATTGGGCAACACAAGAACGGAAGCATAGTACTACCCAGGACCATCGTAAGAAGGACTGTTTCCTGGTTATAATACTAAAGTGCAGAACAGACATGCAATTCAAACACCTTCTAATCAGACATGTTGTTCTGTGGAATCACAGTCAGGTCGTGTGAGAATGGAACAACAATTTGTAATGCGCTCGGAAGCTGCCTCGACCTAAACTGGATTATGACCTTATTCTCGTGGGAAAGATGTCTTGATGGACGTTTAAAGAAAGCCCAGGTAACATCTAGTGGGTGAAGCGAGGGAAATTTTCGTAATATAAGAAATCCCTAATATTTGCACTATCATCGAAGTGCACTAGTACCCTCTATTTTACAGTGAAACAAATATGTAGCCCATATGCATTGCCAGTATCACACAAACAAAGACAATCACACTGCTGCATACTGCCCAAGTTCACAAACAGGATCTGCACAAACTTTGGATGCAGCTTCAGGCAAACTGACAAATGCTTCAGAAATCCGTCTACGATCTGAAAGTTTCAATTTGGACGGATACTTAATTACTATGGTGTGTGGCATGCGATTGCAATTGAAATTGGTTCCATTCCTCTTGTTCGTCAGTGATGGCTGATTAAAAAAACTTCTCACACTGGAATCGCGGATTGCAGGCTCAAGAGAAGGGTGAGAAACCCAATTTTGGGCTGAGTGCTGGGGCTAGAAGAGTGAGCCCCACGGTAGTGAAAGATAAAACGTGCGAGTCACTCGGACCGAACTGGCAACCAATTGCCAAAATGTTTCATTTCTGGCCGTGGATAGAAAAGGTGCTTTTGTCCAGGAGAGAGTGTGTATCAGTGGGCGTTATGTGAAGCGATGTCCGGAGTAGTGATGCTGATGCTAAGATTGCAGACGGTACGTAAGTGATGAAACCGATGATGTTGTTAGCTCGGTAGACAGAAACGAGAGAGCGGAATTCTAAATGTAACGACCATAGGGATGAGGGAGGTGCATAAGATTCAGCACATTGGGTTTTTCGAACCGAGGGATCAAGGGGGTGCACATATGAAATATTATGTTAAAATAGCGCATTAGTTTCAAGTTGTACTGAAAAACTTCGAGGAGATTCCGTGTTGAGCTGCACATAAGCGGTTATTGACTGGGACTGATAGCAAATAGACTGTCCTCAGCAGTTATGCTGAGAACGACGCGAACACTGTAATTGACTATCCGTAAAATTGGGATCATCAAGAAAGTGGAGGATACTCCAGCCAGGCTGAAATCCGAGAAATGTGTAAGATAAATTATGATGCACTAAGTTGCATGCTTGTTAGCTGGGTGCAGAGCAACTTCGTTCCGAACGCAGAGTTGTTACTGATTATGCCTGTTGACCGGCGAAAGACAACAAACGGTTGGACTAAAAGTTGAAAGGACCCACGGTCTGATCACAGTAGAACATAGCTAGTAGCACAGTTACCGAGATCAGGAGTGCTTTCGCTCGTCTACACGTGACAATACAACAGGGAAAAGAATGAAAAGCAAAATGTCTGGCTAAAATTGTAGGCACATAATGATCTATAACTCCAAATACCCAAGGGGGTTATGTCCAGAATAACGTGGCTCCAGCTTTTGACTAATTAGCTCGATCGGTAAGATGGCGAGTAAAGGATTAACTCAGTAAACTGACTCACAAGATAACATGCAGTTAATTTGATTAAGAAGTGTAACTGTCACTCACCGTGAGGTTTTGCCTGTAGCCAATTACATGTAGTCTCATTACGTTCACAGTAGTTAGCATGATGTCGACCGCAACAGAAAATATAGCTGCGATCAATGTCAGCCTCAACTGGTTTCCGGCGTAATACACGTGATCGTAAAGCAGTTAGAACCCCACAAATTGAAAAATACCTCGGAACGACTGTGCCCTACGACAGCCGGGTTGGGAATATTACCCGTGAAACTAAGTAGCAGAGAACTACTTCGCAGGGTTAAACTGGTTGAGTTCCAACGAAGCAAAGGAGCGTGATAAATATAATATTCACCGAGACGTCGAGCACCCCAACAAGGAACAGTGAAGTGTGCGTCTAAGTAGCAGCTATCGAGAAAGAGATCGTCAATTTACAAATACGCCCAAATGATTACGACAGTGCTATCCATGATCCCTTACGGTGCCGTATCGGAGAGCTCAAGTTAGACACAGAGGTCAAGAATGTGCTTTACGCGCTCTAGAGCGATTGTGGCAGCGACCAACGAAGAACCGTTCTGCAAGAAAGTAGGGACCGTAAAACCACTTGAAGACGGAGCAAACAGTTAGGGAGAGGCGTTGAACGGCGTCATGGAATGTGTCAAAAAAAGTGATACCAGGAAACAGAGATCACCGGCGTGCTGGAGTCTAATGGTTTATTCGGTAAGAAGTAGATCGTGATGAGTGAAAGAACAATAATCTGATATGTTTTTAGTAATGAATGCTTCAGTGGCCGCAATGAGAAACACAAACGAACAACCTCATCAAGGAGGTGTGTGCAGAGAACGCAAGAAAAAGACAAGGTGTCATCAAAGAAATTTAAAGAGGTTGCGGTCCAGAGCTAAGTTTAACCTAGATAATGGCACTGCAGATTAGGGGGAATAGTGAAACTATGTTAACGCCAGATGGACCGCATCATTGACCAAAATGCAGTAGCTGGGGAAGAGAAGGTACAAAAGTTGAAGGCACTTGAGTTCCAACTAGCTGGTGTTCCTGACAGAATGCAAGGGATGGGCAAGCGTTTCACTGAAAACCCCTTAAGATGATTGCAGGAGTGAAGTGTCTACCCAAGGTTTGTTATCGATCACTAACCGCAAACATATCGTGGAAGACGAAGGGTGAGTAGTTGTACCGGAAATTGCACTGTCACTCACGCCTAGTGACCGTGCTAAGAGTCAAAATAAAAAATATAAAAAGGGAGACTGAAGAATACTCTGAATGAAATAAAACAGTGTGAAACCCACACATGAAACGAGAGTTGCTAAATGAAAAAGGTTCACTGAGTAAGAGATTTTGCTGCGTATACATCAAGAGGATTATGGATAGGAGGGAGAAATCATTAACAGCCAAGAATGCGCGGAAGAAAAGCGAGGAAAGCTGTAAAAGTTGATTAAGTGGTTTCCGAAAATATCCATTCACTTACAAGGCTGAAGCATGAGAAGCCAGGTCTTAACATTTTCCAGATCCCAACGAAAATCTGAAGAGGAAACGAATGCGCAAAAGTAAGTGGAACAGAAGGGCGAGGTAGCATCGACAAGCTTAAAAACATATCATGCTATTCTACAAGCTTTCAGCTGATAATACCAAAAAATTGCTGAGAAAAATGCATAACTAAGAATCCCCGCCACATTCCTGATGTCATAAAGGCAAACAAAAAGGCCTCATCGGAGAATTTCGCTTATTTAGCTGAACATGATCGGGCCTCTTGGTGCTGCCGCACACCATGATGCATACTGGAAAGCGTTTGTCAATGTCATCACATGATTATGAGTAATGAGGAATCTATATTGAAATGACGATTCTACGAAGCGTACGCAACATACATGTGCGATGGGTTCGGGTGCACAGACGCATTTAACAGGTCAATATCAGTACTATCACACGAGTGCACGTATCGTGGTGCCAGTAGGCGAGATAGGTCTGGTTAAGGACTACGTGAACAACGCAACTCTGTCATCGGACATTGATGACGGGGTGAAACACACCACGACAGAACCATCGAAGGTGGGTACCAACTCGGGCTTGCGCTATGCATCAACAAAATGTGCACCACTGAACCCAGACATACAAACAGACGGCCAATTTGCTTGCTATGCGTAAGAATGTAGGAGTAGCCACAGATAGGATATATGTTAAGACACAATAACTGTACAAACTTAATCAGTGGAGTAGTCCTCATCAGCAAATTACTAGTAGATGGACTCAGTGATTTTGCATATATGAAGCACATTCATATCTATCGTCTTCAAGTACATGATTCCAAAAGGACAATCGCAGCGATCATTGCTCGCAGCACCTCATTTCTACTTTTGAAACCCATACAGACTACTCTCAAGGGGTGCACTTACAACAATAGAAACGGTTTCGGTTGTGTTGTCATAACGTCAGTGGAAATCAATGGTGTTGACTAAGTACTTAAGTCACGTGGCATTCAGCCAGCGCAGGCGCCATCGATGCGTACAGCATCACTACACAATACGAAATGTTCGTCGTCGGGCGGCAGTGTTAAAGTGCGAGTCATGTAGAACCAATAATACGGAGATCGGCACGCATCACCCAATTTGCAGAGGAAAGTGATTCAGCCACGACGGCTCAGATGTTTGCCAAGTGTCACGCATTAGCTGTCGAGGAAAGTTCTGTCCCAGTGGCATCGGACGATGAAAGCGATCAGCGGGCCACCCGCCACCGTTTGGTGCTGACCCGATGAAGTTGCATCGCCTGACAGATCAGCAGTGTGTGCACAAGCGTGGAAAAACATTGATGGCAGTCCCAAGCTGCGGGTTTTGCTCAGTGGCACTTCCATAGTCGAATCAACTTGAAGCCAGTCGCGCGGAGCCAAGCAAGGTGTAGTCTGACTAACTCCTAACGGTAACGATAGGGGGATGAAACGTACCATGGCTTTGACTATGATAATAAATAGTCATTGCAATTCTAAAAAGGACGTACCGAATACAGTAGTGCTCATAAGGAACATCATTGGAGCGGGAAGTGTGAAATCAACCAGGAATGGAGGCAATATCGACCAAAAGGAATGGGGAAACACAATGCATCGGTAAATAGGCCTTGTAAAACGAACTGGACTAAGCTAATAATGCGCCTGACTTACAATGATAAATCAGGTATAAAAAGAAAATCTGTGGCCCTTGGGTTGCTAACCAAGTCAAATTTAGGCGTAAATCCAAATTGAAAGCATTTGAGCTTCCGGTAGCGATAAGGAAATGAGTTTAATAAGTGACGCTTTGAGAAAAATAGTAAACGTTTTATATATCAAGATCGGCACGCAGGTATCGGTGACTAGGAAGTGTTCAGATTTTCAACGAATGGATCATTTGCGTAGAGACTTGAAACACGCACAGCACCTTCTGATCAATCAAAATGTGCAAAAACATTGAAACTAGCCCGATGGGGTAAAAGGGAACGCCACACCTGCGTAGGAATTGAAAAACTTCGCAGGGACCAACGAGTTTGGTCATTTCAAACCTAGATTTTTCACTTGGAACTCTTGGTCAGACAGCTAAGTAGTTGCAATCAAATACATAGCCCCGGTGTTAAACCGAACCACCAAACAAATCGATCACCCCAGCCTATTTCTGTAGTAGTTAACATGGAAGCACTCTTAGCACATGAATTAAGCTAAAGGTTTAAGTTCCTTTGCAATAGATAGAGATTACAAAATACACCAAAGACTCTGTACGGTCTGGTTTATTTAATGGTATGCTTTGTTTACTAATCCCTGTGATCACTTCCAAGAGCCAGGCTATATTACATGTAGTAACTTAGTGATGTTGGCCCAGTGATCGTAAACACGAACTGGAGACGGCGGGATTGCGGATCCCAGTGTAACTCAGTGGTCCGTGTGATGCACACTTCGGACGATTCACTGGGGAACAAGACGGCCATCTAGTGCACTTCCGGAAGTGTGACGATCATCTGAGTGAGTTTAGCTGAGACGAATTTCAACTTCGAAGTCTGTTACTGATTCATCCCTGCAGGTTACAGGCTAGATAATCCAATCTGAAAAGGCACCAGACGGCATTTTCACTCTGCTGGTGATCATTCTCCGGACCTATCAGGATCCAAAACCGTGATCACTAGCAGCTTTCGCTGACCAGCCAGCATATTATGTCACTGAGCCATGGGGGACGGTAACAGACCATAAAAACTTGTAAGGTAACTGGGATACAGCCCGACCTATCCTCCGCTGCCATGCAGTTAGCTACTATTGCAGAAGACAGTGGTTGGCCTCTAGAGGTTACGACTTCCACTACGATAGCAGCTATGTTCGCATAGCGTTTAAAAGCTGTGAGAGCAAGTGAAGAGGCGGAGCTGCTCTCTCTCAACACCGCACGCCAAAATTCGCCCTCACAGCTTTTAATTGCTATGCGAACATAGCTGCTGTGTAGTGGAAATTGTGACCTTTAGGGACCAACCACTGTCCTCTTCAATATTGGCAAACTGAAAGGCAGGGGAGGCTGGATGGCATTATGTCACAGTTAGCTTGCAAGTTATGATGATCTGCTACCGTCCCCCATGGCTCAGTGACAAACTGTTGGCTGGTCGGCGCAAGCTGCTAGTGATCACGGCTTTGGATCCTGTTAGAGCAGAGGCAGAGTATACAGACGCACTATTGATTAAATAAAATTAAACTTACAGTTCTCGTAATGTGCGTCGGATGGTCAGGTGATTGACGTACGCGGGATTGATGGGCGGCAGTAAATTCCGCTCGTATAATTAACGGCCAGAGAAGTTGCAATGCTTGAATGAGCTCCGTTTGGATGCAGAGATTAGGGTTCATCAGTCTTATGCTTACTGCTTCAACAGTAACAAGCAGTAGTGCTGCTGCTAACTCATCATCAACAGCAGTACATCAGCCATTTGAACTGATGCTTCGCTGCCATACAACCATGAGGACCTATGAAATAAAGAATAAGAAGAGGGAGAGAAGGGGGACTTACCTGAAAACCTTAAGGCCCTAAGCAAACATTCAGGGTCAAGGCGCCTACACCTTGTGTAGACAACATACCGTCACAAACAGCTGGCTATCGTGCAAAGATAATGCGGCATCGGCGAGACAGCTTCCTTGCGGCTTTCACTGCCACGCGTCATAATCAGCCATTACCCCGCAGATAACTCAGCACCAAACGCACTTTAAACAGACAATCCGATTAGGAGACGGCAGCAGACGCGCCACTGGTGTCGGTTGCGAGCCATGTCCTGTAAAGTCTCGAGCCAAGCACAAGGTGAGTCACGTGGACTCCAACCCGGAAGGCGAGACGGACCAACGGCACCCAATTTGGTCGTCAGTGACTTCATTTCCCGCTGCCAAGTCAACTTCTGTCCACCTCGAGCCTTGCGCCATCCGACACCTGGTAGACTGAACAAGGCCCTCCTAGGTAAGCGGTGACCAGGCATGCGTAGCACGTGCCCGAGCCAACGTAACTTATTCAGTGCTATCTGTTGTTCTAGGGAGCTAGCATGATCATCACCACCTAGTACTCACCTACGCACATCATCGTTGCGGACACGCTGGTGCCATCCGACACCAGCAATGCTTCGCAAACAACGATGATCAAAGACTTGAAGGCGCCTCAGATCTTCAGACCGAAGGGGCCAAGTTTCACTACCATAGAGCAGAACGGCCCTCACGGTGGCCTTGTATACACGGCCTTTCAGACGGAGGGAAACTCCCTTCTGTCGCCAAAGATGACGCAGGTTCAAGAAGGCAGCTCTAGCCTTTGCAATGCGTGAGCTCACGTCAGTTTCCATGCGCAAATCATTGCTGATGCAGCTGCCAAGATAAGTGAATTGATCAACCACCTCGAGTTCCTCGTTAGCAAGCGTCAAGGGGTCATCGAGTGGCTGGTGGTCCTGCAGCAACACTTTGCACTTTGAAGGTGCGAAGTGCATACCAAATAATGGGACCACTCTGGATATGCTATTCAAGGTTGATTGTGCCGCCTCAACATTGTCGAAAAGCAAGACGATATCGTCCGCATAATCTAGATCAACTAACCGTTCACCAGGCAGCACTTCAACACCTACATCGTGAGACTCCGCAAGGGAACACTCCATGATAGAATCCACTACGAAATTGAACAAAAACGGGGAAATCGGGCAACGCTGACGAACGCCACTTGTAGTCGAAAAGCTATCCGATAGGGCACCATAGACCCTGACGCGGCCTCTAGTGTTCGAGTATAGAGCACGAAGGATGTTCACATATTTCGTGGGAACACCTTTCCGCGCAAGTATTTCGAATAGAATCGATCGATCGACTGAATCGAACGCACTCATGAAATCGAGGAACACAGCTATTGTCGGTCTGCGGTATGCGTGACCCTGCTCTAGCACCTGCCGCAAAGTAAATATATGGTCTATACAGCCACGTCCTGGGCGAAAACCGGCCTGCTCTTCTCTAATCCGAGATTCCCGTTCTGCAGTGAGGCGACGAACGATAATCGAGGCCAGTACTTTTGT